GTTAGAAAAACAATGTTAGAATATGAAGCTCATACCGGTGTGGTCTCGAATGGGAACGGCGGAGGACATAAGGATGGCAAGGCATTCGCATTGCCGTTGTAGGGTGGCGACCCACCGCTGGGCGCCGAAGCCCATACCGGAGCTGAGAAGCGGGCGGTAGAGCTGGTGGACTTGGCTTTCTTCATACTCGGCATGTTCCACCCACGTAACCTACTCCCAAAATCGTTACATCACAATAATATACAAAATATTTCATTATACTATATAGTTCTTTTAGTCTCAAAAAGCTTAACAATCATACAAATTCGCATCACATAATAATATCTACACCAAGTCAAACCATGATCTCAGCAGATTGACCAACTTTGGTTCAATAAAAAAACAATTTTTTCTGGAAGAAGTAAAAAGTCAGAAGATGGCATTTGGACCAAAAACAGGAATCAAATTCAGAAAAATAGTGAAAGATCATAAATTGGGCAAGATACTAAACAAAAGGGTTAAAAAATGAAGAATTATTAGGCTAGAGAGAGAAAATAGAGGGAAGAGAGAGAGACATCGAGATTTGAACCACCAAAAGCAGTGGATCCGATCGGGTCGATGATAAAACTTAGGTGCGTACCATTACCAGTAAATAAGTATCTTCCTGCTTACTATCATTAAAAAAATTTCTCTGTTTTTTCACGGTGGTACCAGTAAGCACCTAAGTTTTATCCTGGGATCAAAATGAAAAGCAAAAGCAAAGGAAAAACAGGCAAAAGAAAACAAAAAAAAGGGAGTCCTTGAAGTTTGACTAAATAGTCCTTGTTTGGATTATAATAAAAAAACACTGACACACGAGAAAGGCTGGAACCAGTTCAGACAGAGTTTATTTATTATAATCTAAAAACAAAACACAGCATAAATCGAAGAAGTAGCCTCCAAATTAGATTCGAATAGAAACATCAAAATGCCCCAAAACTTCCACTATTTAAATGGATAAAAAAAAGATTACAAATTTTCAATGCGCTCGAGGCACAGAAATTTCAGTAACAAAAACAGGAACCTCGATTTCCAGACTATATTTTAATGTAAATTAAGCAATCCCAGATGTTGAAAAATGAAAACCAAAGTTCTAGATGGAGAAAAATTTTGTCAAATCAGATTTCAAGCATCCCAATGCTTCATATGGTATTCTTTTGGAAGGTTCAGATTCTAAAATGTGGTCTCTTTTTTTGTTTAAAATAATGCACTACTGACAGATTAGTGATTATGGTGAATAATCACTGAACTTTTTGAACTCTGACTTGGGAGTTGAAAAATGGGAATTGCTTTGATTTTTAATCTGTTTTCTTTCAAATGCATTCAATGGCAAAGGTAGTAAAATAAATGTAAGAAAAGGACCAGAAACATAAAGGCCACAGAAAAAAAGCTCATTGGATGGAACATTTCATGGAAAAAGAACATTAAATTTTCATGGAGGAGACAATGAATGTGGGATTAATTTTTGCTAATTACATGATATGATAGAAGTTATGATGTTTTTTTTACCTTGGAATATCCATTGGGCATGTCTTGAACAACACAGCCAGAAGGAAGCCTTCTGCAGTTGATGAATGAGGAAGCACCGGCGGGAGTGTCTCTCATGGCGTCGATCGATATGTCGACAACTGCCCAAACCCCTTCCGCATGCTGCTTGCAGAAGCGCAGGAAATTGACCTCCCGGACCGGCACGAGCGGTGAGAGCACTTGGAGCTCTGCGTGCATCTGTGATCAAACAAAACCCTCTTAGATTTTAATGAACTGTAGGGAAGAGGCATTCTGCAGATTTTTTACAATCTTTTTACCAGTTGAAGTGCGCCATTTCTTGTTCCGCCCATGCCACCGGAGATCACATCGGTGGTGGTTGTTCGGGCAATCATACATGGAAACATCTCTGCCCATCGATTCTGCACGAGTTTTGAATGAGAAACAAGGATCAGAAAACAGTTGGAATTTAAACAAAGTGATTTTTTATGCAAGAGGTTTCTTTTAACTGTTTACCGAGTCCATCAATGTCTCGACGAGAGCCAAGCTGTTGATGATGACCATACCGGTTTCTCTCGATGCCTCGGTGACGAACCCATTCGGTTTCAAGCCGATGCAAGGAGTGAATGTCCTCATGTACTCTTCCTGGTTCAGTATTTCTCTTCCACCTTCCAAGCTCCCAATCCAAAGAGGCTCATCTGTCTGTGCCATTTTAACCAGCTCATCCATGGCAGCCAAAGCAAGCTCCAGTAGCATAGATCGCTCAAGCCCCAGCCCCGGCGTCGGTCTGCCAGGAGGGGGAACAACAGCCAGATTACCCGATAACCCACCTCCAAAATCCGGCCCAATAGGCATTGTCGTCGCCATGGTCAAACTCCCAAATCCATTACTCCCAACTCCAAGTTCCAGACTTGAGCTTGGCAACGGAGGCGCAATGGAGTTAGCCAGCGATGAAATTGGTCTCCCGAGAAACTTCCCGGCAAGCGCGCAGACCCGGTCCAACTCATCCTTCAACCGGGCGTTCTCGATCCTCAACTGCTGCTCTTCCAGCGAGATTTCTCCGATAATTGCCGGACCACCGCAGTTCGAACAGATTGGATTCCTCATAGCATCTCGAATCGACATGTTCTCAGCTCTAAGCTTATCATTCTCCTGTCTAAGCAAAGTATTTTCATGGCGCTCCAATTGGGTCTGCACAAAACAACAAAAAACACACATCATTCATCATTCATCTCTAAAGCTACAAAAAAATCAAAAAAAATGGTGCACTTCTTCTTCTATTACCTTCATCTGGGTCCTCCGATTTTGAAACCAGAACTTAACTTGTCGAGTTTCCAAACAAAGCCTCCGACTCAACTCCAGCCGTTGCTTCTCATCAGGATGAGGGCACTCTTTAAAAACACTGAGCCAAAAAAATCCCCCAAAAATTGGTTCAAGAAATATAGAAGAAGAAGAAGAAAAACAAAGAGGGGAAAAAAGACTAATCGTACGCTTCGAGCTCTTGGATTTGTTGAGGAGTGTGTCGGTGGTAGCGCTTCTTCCTCGGAGGGTTGTCGGCGGCGTCCTGATCGTCGCCGGAGCCGCCGTCCATATTATCACTGCCAGATCTACTCTCGTGCTCTTCCTCTCTGGTCCTTCTCCCAACATTATGCTCCAAACCCTCCGGCATTCGGCCGGCCAAATCCCCTTGCCCGTCCATATTCGTCTGAGATTTCGGAAGAACCCATTAAATCACCAATAAGAACACAGATTAATCGATAGAAAAAAAAGGAAGAAATTAGAGGGAGGGAAGGAAGTACGAGAGCGAGAGAGAGTCCGGGGGAGTTGAACATGGATTTAGTGAGCGATTGAGTGATGAGGCGCGGCGGAGCAATCGCACCGGAGGGCATATTTCCGCCGCCGCCGCTGTTGTTAGTGTAAGGTAAATCGGCTACAATTCGAGCGCCACCGCCTCCTCCTCCGCCCCCGCCGCCGTCGAGGAAACCCCCAAAACTCATCAATCAAAACTTCGATAACTCCTCTCCTTCCCTTTCCCCACTCACCCACCGGCCGGCGTTTTGGGTTTTCCTTTAGAATCCTCCAGATTCGGCGAATTCACAAAAACAACTCCCCCAAATGAGAGAACGAATCAGTGAAGTGAAGTGTAAACACTGAAGCCCTTTTTCTCAGAAACCCAGAAGTTCAAAAGGCACAAAACGAAAAAAGAAACAAAACCCACAAAAATCAAGCAGCTGAAATTGCCCAAATCAAGGAGAGGAAGAAGAGAGAGGACAAAGAAGGCAAAGGCAAGAGAGAAAATGAGGGAAAAACGAAAAACCCTTTTGCTATATCTTCCTTCTCAATCCTCCCCTTCCCTCTCTCTCTTCAGAAACCAACCAAAACAAGAAGAAACCCACTTCGATTCAGACTCACAAGAGAAGAAGAAATAAAAAGAAAACAAGAAAAAGAAAGAAAAACTCAAGAACCCTAGTTATGAGGGGCTATAGCAGTTGCAGGCGTTTTCTCTGCATGTCAAAACTTTCTAAAAACCCTCTCAAGGCAGCAGAAAACTTGGAGAATCCAAAAAAGAAAAAAGAAAAAAGAAAAGGGGAAAAAGGGCGATGGAGAGAGAAATGAAGAGGGGTATGGAGTTTTGTTTTAAGATTTGCACAGTGAGAGGAAAGCAAAAAAAAGGAAGAGAGAAGATAAAACGCAGTATGTGGACTATTCGAAGCCTTACAAATACAAAGGTCCAAAAAGGAAAAGGGGTCGGTTGACTCTCAATCGCCTCCCCAAAAGTCTGTGAATGGCAGTGAAACAGAGAAGGGGAGAGGGGCTGTAAGAATTTCTTTTGAACAAGAAGAAAAAGAAACAACAGGAGGAGGTGAAATTCATTCATAGATGTTTACAAATTACAATACATTACAATACAATACATCCATTGCTTTCCATGTCTCTCACTTTGGGAAATGAGATTTTTTTGTTCCAATCTTTTCCCTCAATTATGTAACTCTTTCAGAAATTTTGGAATCCAGCCCTTTTTGTTTTTCTTCGAGATTTAAGTTATATTGAATTGAAAATTGAAATGTTTTTTTACTACTCAAGTCCTTTTACTCGAGATTCCGCAAAGACGAGAATCCTTCTTCGCACAATTGTCGTTCAAGGGCTTGAACCTCCCATTTTGTGGTTAACAGCCACACGCTTTAACCAACTGAGCTATTCCAACCATTGGAATTGGCTTATCGTAATAAATAATCTCCCAGTTATAAAATGTTACGTTATTAATGTGAATTTGTCAGAACTAAAGTATATATATATATATTTTCAATATGTTGGAAAGGATATCGTATTAGACAAATCCAAGTTTTTTAGTATGTGTTCCAAATTTTATATATATATATATATATATATTGTGTAATTTGTGTTTTTATTTGTGGATTTTATGATTTGTTAAAAGGGTAGGTGCCAATCTAACCCAATTTGAATAAGTTATTAAAAAATAGTTAAAAGTAAAAATATAGCCTAATTTGATTTGAATTTAAAAAGAAAAAAAAAGGAAAACTATCTCATGAGAAGAAAACAAGTCAAGTTTGTGACATTTAAAAAAATTACTGACAATTTTAAAGTAACTATTCTTCTAAAATTAATTACAAAAGAAAATTAGAACATGTTTATAAGTAATTACAATCAATTGACAATTGCTTTTTATGATTATTGTTTATAAATGTACAAATAAAAATATAATGATTATAGTTGTTTAAGTTAATCATATATTTATAATGATTATGGTTTTTAATTATATTTTTTCAAAAATATATATTTTGTAAAATGAAGCTTATTCATTTAAATTTTTTAGTTTATAAATTGAGTATGTGGAATAAAAAGAGGGTATTATAAGTTCTTTTATATAACCTGAATTTATTTATTTTTTATTTTTTGCAAATGTATAACCTAAATTTATTTGGTTCCTGAGGTTAACAAATTCATAATTTATAAGTAAAAGTTTTCCTTTTATTAAAAATATTACATTATAAATAGAAGATGAGAATTTAAAATTACGAATAATCTTTAGAAAAAGGTAAAATACCTTTTTTTTTACTTCGGAAAAGGTAAAATACCTTAATCACATATCTCTGCGGAAGTTAGTTTGAGTTAAATAATCCCACGTATTAAATATAGATTCAAATTTTTAATATGTAATTATAGTTTTTTTTTCACTACAATAATTTGATTTAGGATGAAAATTTAATTACACTATTATACTTTTTGTTGGTTTAAATATTTGATGTCCTTTTCCAAAAAAAGGAGAGAGAGAAAATGACGTCACGTGAGTATTAATTTGTAATCTTTGAATATATGTTGTTAAGTGAATTAAAATTTAAATTATTATACGATATTAATGAAATATGTTAATTATGATATTGTTTTACTTTGTAAATAAAGATTAAGGTTGATGGCCAACCGAGTTAATTCAAAATGGTTAAGATATCTATTTCAAACCAAAAAGTCGTGAATTCAGATCTCCACTTCTATAAGTTGTACTACAAAAAATGTTAAGGACAACCGTAATAAAAAAAAATGATATTGTCCGCTTTGGTTATAGCTTGCTTTTTGTTTAACCCAAAATGTCTTATACCAATGGAGATAATTATTTTCATCTATATATCATGAATCATGGTCTTCCCTAACCAATGTGAGACTTTGTTTGCATTCACTTTACAAACCCAACAATCATTCCTTCAAACAAAGTGTTGCCGAGCCTCACTAAGTCTTCTCCTCAAGTAGTCACTCATTCATATACTAAATTTCACAACAACAAAAAAAAAAAAAAGTGAATTTCGTTTAATAACTATTTTATTAATGTTTTCCATTTAATCAACCACAATCTTGCGCTGTTCGTTTATCTTCCTTCCGACGACCATAAAAAATTTGATAGCTCTATATTTATTTATTTTTAAATAAAAAAGACGTATTATTTTTTACATTTATTTCTTTTATTTATAAAAAATTTAATGGTGATATAAGGGATGAGTACTGACAGATAAGTACGTAAATATTTTTGTTTAGTACAACATGCGGGTCACGATCGAACTCAGAACCTTTTATCTAAGAAAAATATCTCTCCTCATCTATTACCCTCTATTTTTTAATTGATCAAACCGTTTTAAAAACATTAACGAAAGAAAACTCATTCATAACGATTAGTTTTTGAAATTTATTTTTTAAAAAGTAAAACAAAATGGCAAAAATAATCATCCAATTGATTCCGAAATAGCTTTAAAATTACAGAGATACAAAGAACTCAAAGAGCAATCACACCCCTTTTTTCTAGGGAATTTTCATTAAAACGACGTTCAACAAAGATGAACCTAGTTGAATTTCGAAGATACCGACCGAGGTGGTAAATCGAATCGAAAGTTGAAATAATTTGACAAAGTTTTAAAGCTAAAGAACTTGCTAACCAAATCTTTGGTGAATCCTAACCCTTTTTTGTTAGACTTTGGACCACAAAGAAAGGGTTAGCATAATTTAAATACCTTCAAGGGGAAGGAAGAGTTAATGGTGGCTGTTTATGAGTCATACAAAATGTTATTTTCTTGGTTGCTTCTCAACTTTAGTCTATGTATAGAGAGAGAGAGAGAGGGAGGGTTTTTGCTACCTTGCATTCATTGATGACCTTTTCCCAAATTGCCCCATTTTTCTCTCTCCTACTAAATTTCATTTCCTTTCTAATTATTTCCCTCTTCATTAAAAGGGTATTTTGGTAATTTTATTAAAATTTAAGAGGATGTTTGGCTCACCGTTTTGAGTTTATAGAATATTGATGGATTGAAAAGTTTCGATTTTGTATGATCGACAATGTAAGTGAACGAATGTATAAAACTTGAATTTATTTAGTTTTCATGGTAATGAATCTTATGGGATAAGCCAATTCACAAACTAAAATATATGCCCAACTCTTTTGTTTTTCTTTTTTTTATATATATACACAAATCTAACTCGTGAGTCACTCGATCCTTAAAAAAATTTGTTGGCTCGCATGTTCATATACCTAGTCGCAACATGGACGAATGTATGAATTATGGGTTTATAATAATAGATTTTACAAGTTATTAAAAGGACTCTAATGGATTTACATATTATATGATCTTTAATAATGATCTAAATTAATTAGTTAATTTGATATGTAGTTAATTATTTTTAGTTAATTAATGCAAGATTACTCCACAAGATTATTCTAATCCAAATTATAGTAATTTTTTTATTTAGAGATATAATCACCCCATCCAAGTCGGTCCACAATTAGTCAGAGGTTAATTTTACCATGTAATTACATATTATTCATTAAATATTATCATTAATATTCTCTAAAAATATCATAAACTCGGTGAAGTCACTCTCAAACCAATAAAAGGAGAGAGTTAGATCTCATTATGTTTAAAGTTTGAACAAATGCAACCAACAAAGAGAACTATCCATCATTATTTGGTCCAATTCATATTTTTTTATTGTTAGATCTCTATCCCCACATGTTATTAATAAAAAAACAATAATTTACCAGTAAAAATGAAAACACGAAACAACTTGATATAAAAAATTATACATGCACACGGAAAAAATCTTTCCAAACTGACTCTCCTCCAAGATTTATGTAGATGATAACAAAAATGAGGGGTAATATCGATGTCGATGAATACTTTTGTCTACACATCAATGATATTTTATTGATACTTTGTCGATTTTTTTGTAACATTATAAAAATGTCAATTTACCTTTCATGTCGTTAATACATCGGTACCTCACAATCACACATCTTTTTTATCTCTCTCTAGAATTCTCTTAATTTTTTAGCACAGACTGTTTGGCTTATGATCAATGGTCCAATTTTCCTCTTGTACATTAAATGAAACTGAGAATGAGCAGAAGGAAGGGATTTGTGCTTGTGAGGAAAAAGGAAACCCAACTATTTGTATCCCAAACCATCTTTTATAGTAGTCAGTATCAACAACTTTTTATTTATTTTTATTTTATTTTATTTGAGTTTGGAATCAACTTTTCATAAAAATGCTTTTAAACTCATTCT